GTCCTGGGGCCTCCCTACATCTTGGGTTGAAGTAAGGGAAGAAAAAATTTGAATTATTATTTTATCCTCAATTTTCCAGCCCCCCTTCCCCTTTCCCTTTCTCTTTCTCTTCCCTTTCTCCTTCCCCTTCCCCTCTTTCTGATTTCTCTCTGGGAATTGCATTGATTTGAGTTCCTTTTGTGGCTTTTTTTAAGCTTTATTGCTGACGAAAACAAGCCATACGTGATCAGGCTGCCAGTGCCTGTCGGTGTGTCGCAATCCCTCCCCCACACACCCCCTGATATTTTTTGACCCTGTAGCTAATTTAAGCCACACTTGACAGCAGAATAGACATCTCAGAGATAATTAAGTACCTGTGAGTTTGTGAAAATAAATAGATGGGTATAAAAAGAGAAACCCTACCAAAACCCCCCGGTGCTGTCCTTCTTCCTAATGAGACTGGGAAGAATCAGCCCTTGAATTAAGGGGGACCCATAGCCATAACTGCTGTGATGGAGGCAAAGAAGTACTTTGTGGGAGCTCACGGTCTTGGGCACTGTCAGTCAGATGTGACACGTGAAAGCTGCAGCCAGGCTTCTTATTTATGGCATTACCCATGAAATTATTTGTTTTAATGGATGGCTTCGCCCCTCCTCTCTCTTTCTCTGTTTCCAGTAACAAGAGCATTAATAAATATAGTAAACCATAATAATATATTGGCCAGCTTACAGTGTGACAGATACTGGTTGTGCTGCAAAATGCCACAGGAGATGATGAGTCAGGGTGTTTTAAGGTATCTTTCCATCTGGGGTACTGATACAGCCTATCTTATCAGCCTCCCTGCAGACCTCACAGTCTATGGGCCTTATCTTGGCAGTCTGCAGGTTTTGCAGTACTGTTATCTCTGTTTTTCAGAAAGAAAACTGAGTTAAAGAGAGGGTGAATTACTTGCTCACAGTTGCACAGGACCTTTTTGGCATGCATCTTTTCTTTTTTTTTCCCTTTTTTTTTTCCTCCCAAAGATGCGTGTCCTATGCCATTCACTCTCCTTCCTCTCAAGTGCCTCCAGAACCTAAAGGTGACTAGGAGAAGCAGGCTGTATTTTTTCCTGTTTTCTTCCTTATAGGATTCATAGTTTGCTCTGAGCATACAAATTTCTGAGTTTCTCCTGCCTCTTGGTCCGAGATGCTGTTTCTTGCAGCCAGCAGGCTCCCAGGGCTGGCACCTTCCTGCGTCCCCAGAGTGGGCTTCGTAGGAGGCAAGTCTTCATGAGCCCCCAGTTGCACCTGGTCATCTCTACCCCCCTTCCTTTCTTGGTCCACCTCATGGACACACTAAATTTGCCTGTTTATTCCTCCTGTGATGAGCTTAGTGAAGGAGTTTCTTAAAGGAGTGTTGTGGATGTCTGGGGAACAGCTCCTCAATTTATTTGTATTCCATCCCTGTCTCAAGTGCAGGGTTGGGTCAGATCCACACATGAAGCTGACTTTGTTGCCTCCTCTCTCATTATTTTGTCTCTCTTCCATCATGCCTTGCCTTCACAGGCAGCGCTTGCACAGGACCACTCGCTGTGCCGAAGGCGAGTCTTGTTCCTGGCTCAGTGCCTGAGATGAGAAGTTACAGTCCTTGTTTCAGTCAGAAAGTTGGGTGGTGATCCGAGGGCTGGAGGACAGACTGAGAGAACCTGGAGAAGAGAAGGCTCTGGGGAGACCTTAGAGCCCCTTCCAGTCCCTCAAGGGGCTCCAGGAGAGATGAGGAGGGACTCTGGATCAGGGAGGGGAGCCATAGGAGGAGGGGGAAGGGTTTGACACTGAAAGAGGGGAGAAGGAGATGAGATGTGGGGAAGAACTTCTTTGCTGTGAGGGTGGTGAGAGCCTGGCCCAGGTTGGCCAGAGAAGCTGTGGCTGCCCCATCCCTGGAGGGGTTCAAGGGCAGGTTGGAGGGGGCTTGGAGCAACCTGGTGTGGTGGGAGGTGTCCCTGCCCAGGGCAGGAACTGGATGGTCTTTAAGATCCCTTCCAACACAAACCATTCTATGATATGATTTCTGAGTCTAAGACAGGGTATGAGTTTCTAGTCCAGACCTGTTGTTCTGGTGGCAGTTGGGAAAGGATGGAGTCTGGAAGAGGCTGCCAGCACAACATGTCCAGAAACAGGTCTACACGAACAACCACCATAGGGAAAGCTCATGTCCTGGCCCCATCTGGAACGTGGAGTTGCAAGCGGAGGTGTGGATAGTGCTGTAGGCTGGTACCTGGCTGGTAGCAGACCTTTTCCTTCTTGACACCAGGTATTTTGTTTGAGGGCTGTGACCCCATGGTCTTGGCCTCATGGTTTTCACGGTCAGTGAATCCCTGAGGCGGGAGAAGGTTGTGCTTCCCCGGGGCAGCTGGAGGGGCAGGGATGGAGAGGGGAGCTACAGGGGAGCCTGCAGTGTCTGTTCCAACTGGGACATGCTCTGGTCAAAGCACATGCACAGCAGGGAGCAGATCCCCTGCCCAGGGCAGAAGGGACAAAATAAATATTATTTGACTAAACTGAGAAGCCACCAGGTGAGCTGGAAGAAACGTTGGGAAGGAGTCTGCTTTCTGCAGGCAGGCAGTGCAGAGCGGGCTTTCAAACCTTTCTCTTTAAACTGCATTTTCCTTCATGGAATGGTATTTTTTTTCCCCTGTGCTTTCATAGAGCATTGCTTTAGGAAGTGGAGACTTGATATCTATTTGATGTTCTCACTTTCAGGAGAGAAGGTGGAGTCGTCCCACCACAAGTACGTGACTGATACGGGTCCAACACAAATACCATGTAGTTGACAGCGAAAGTGTGGGATGTAGAAACGAGCGAGGGGGAAGGGCACACGCTGGTGGAGAAGTGCAGTCAGAAAAGCTCGGAGAGCCACCAAGCAGCACTCATCTGCTCCTTTTATGTTGTCCCTTGCCACCTTCAGCTCCCTTTTCCCTCTGTATGTTGTCTCTGAGCTCTGACGTGACTGTTGCCGTGGCTTTGTACCACCCTCCCTTTGCTGGGAGGATGCCCATCTCATGTCCTGCAGCCCTTCCTCACCAGGGGCTTCTGGGCATGTGTATGGGGTGGTTCTGCTCTGGGCTCCCTCCAGGTGATGCAGGTCTCCTGGGAGCTGGCCTGTGCTCAGGACCTGCTATGACACACGCAGGCATAAGTGAAAAACAGGAATGTTTTATTAATGTTGGGAATGTTTTATTAAGCAATCTTGATTTTTTTTTTTCCCCTTCTATTTTTTGAAGTATAAAATAACTTTTACTTTCCTGTGGAAAAAGTTATTTCCACTTTTGCATGTCGCACCAGATTCTGAAGGAGCATTGAAAGCCTTAAAAACAGCTGAAACCAGCGTTTTGCTACCTATGAAAGCCCCTGACTTAAACTCTGATTCCCAGCAGGCTTGTCAGGTCCGTAGACACGGGGTAGATCCCGGGGGAGAACTGGAACTGTTTCTCACTGCTACAAGTCTGTTGTTTCTGACTCTGGGGACCTGAAAATAGCCTTTGATTATTTTTTCCTGCGGACAGAAGTTACGGTACAGGCTGTATTTTGTCAATCCTGGCATTCAAGGGAAGTAGTTGAGGGCAGGAGAGCGTGGAGAGGTAATGCTCCTTGGAGGGACCGTTTTAAATCAGAAAGCATCTCTCTACCTGATTCAGGAGAGAAGACCCGTAAGGGCAGCCGAGTTTGCAAAAGGCACCAAAGGAAAGAGAGGGTGGGGAGTTTTTAAATCGTGCTTTGCCATATCTTTGCCTATTACATGGCAGCCCCTGCCCATCCCCTAAGCAATGATCTGGAGTGTGGAAGGCACCGCGTGTGATTTGGAGATTACAGGCAGCTTCAGAGATGTTTGTGTTGCACCAGGAGAGGAGAAGAGAATAAGACCAATGGTGGAACCTCACTCGGATGCCCATCACGGAGACACTGATGCCTTTGCCAGGGATGCCATGGCATTTCTGTTCTGCTCAAGCACCTTGCACATCTCTTCTGTGGCAAACGGGCTCTTCTCCTCGCTGACAAGGTCTGAGGATTCAGAGCAGTGGCTGGTAATTCGGAGTCTTGCAAGACTATGAAGTGGAGGAAGGATGGGTTCTTGGACATCGCCAGCTCACCCTGCGGAGCTGCCGGGTATCCCTGCTCCATGGGGATGTCTGACTCCTGCTGGGAACAGTTGTTCACCTATGCCTTCCAGATCTGTGAATGCAAATCTCTCTGAACAGAATACCTTTTTAATAAATCTCCCGTGAGAGAAAGACACCAACTACCTTTCACTTTCAAGTCTTGAATTCCGAGCTGATTTCTGAATTGGCACGATTTCTTCCTCATCGCGCAGCCGTTACGAGCTGGATAAAATCAGCAGCCGGTCTGTTATAAAAAAAAAAAAGAAAAGGGGGTTGGTGCCAAATACTCATAAAAAGGAAAGCCGTAATTTGCAGTAATAAAGTACTGGCTGCGACTGGTGGTCTGAACGCGCTGGCAAATGCCCTGGAACGGTGCACTGGCGTGTCAGAGATGCACAGGGAGGCAAAGAAGTGTCGTAGGTGGGGCTGTTAAATCTTCTATAAACCACTTCAAGCAGCTGAGCACCTTGTCTCATAAATATAATAGCATTGCACAGTCTCCCACAGTATAGTGATAGGACGAGGGGGAATGGTTTTAAACTGAAAGAGGGGAGATTGAGATGAGATATTAGGAAGAAATTCTCTTCTGTGAGGGGGGTGAGAGCCTGGCCCAGGTTGGCCAGAGAAGCTGTGGCTGCCCCATCCCTGGAGGGGTTCAAGGGCAGGTTGGAGGGGGCTTGGAGCAACCTGGGCTGGTGGGAGGTGGAACTCAATGATCTTTAAGGTCCCTTCCAACCCAAACCATTCTGTGATTCTATGTAGTCACTATGCAGTGCTGTGTATAATTTAATTCTTCATGTATAATTATGACTGTAGAAGCAAAAAAGCCACTTTTCTAAGTCTCTGTAATGCTAATTGTTGAACCATCTCTTTTTCTTCTTTGAAGTCCCACCCAATTTGACTGTTCCTCAAGAAAAGTCCCCCCTGGTGACCCGGGAAGGGGACACCATCGAGCTGCAGTGCCAGGTGACGGGGAAACCCAAGCCCATCATCCTCTGGTCCCGGGCGGACAAGGAGGTGGTGATGCCCGATGGGGCCATGCAGACAGAGAGCTACGATGGGATCCTGAGGATAGTGAACGTCTCCAGGGAGATGACAGGAACCTACAGGTGCCAGACCAGCCAGTACAACGGGTTTAATGTGAAACCCAGAGAAGCTTTGGTACAGCTCATCGTACAGTGTAAGTAGACCCTTATTTTCTTCCCATGCTGGAAAAATGAAATTGTTTTCGCTGAGAAAAAGTTTTGCTGAGAAAAAGTTAATTTATTTCTCCCCTAAATACGCAGCAGCAAGAGTGTTATGATTGTTATGTTTTTGATTCTGTGTTGTTTGTCTCTGAAGTTCCCCAAATCCATGATCTTGATGTTAATTGAGAAGTTAGAATGACACAGGAGTCCCATTTATACTTTAAAAAAAAAGTGTGAAGCAATCATTATTTTCCCAATGCCTGGCTTTAAATTTCTTGAGACAGGAACAAGCAGATGAGATAGATGGACATGTTTTTATAAATGCTGATCTGATACTGATCTCATTTTTTGATACTGTCTAAAACAAGGTGGAAAAAAAAAAGAGAGAAAGAGCTGTTCCGTCTTAGCTGATCTGTATGCAGATGTGCAGAGTCTGCTCTAACTCTGAATGTGAACCGTCAGCACCAGCAATGGGAAGGAAAACATAACAAGAAATCAATTATTTTGGAAATGCTCAGCGTTTGTTATTGGAAAATGAAAAGTCCAGTTTGATGTGGTTTATGGGAAATAATGAGCCATTCTTTGTTGCTGTGTGTCTGATAAAGATGCTCACTAAATGACTTTCATGTGTCTGTTGTACTGTTAGTACTTATTTTCACTTTTTTTTATAAAGTGACTTGTGCAGCCCTCGTTTATTCTGGTTTCAGATGCCCAAATATTATGGCATATTTGCTTTTTAGCAGCGTTCTGTGCTCAGCACAACTGACCTCTTTTGGGGCCTCCAGGGACAAGATGCTGTGATATACATAGTTATTATTAATAATCAACTGATTTGTTTTTTCCAAGGTCTGTTGTATAACAAATTATTTATGCACTTGATTACATGTTGTGGTATCTGCAGCACTTTCATCAGAGCTATTTACTGGTGTGCTGGCACAGCTTTTTATCCAAGCGTGCTGCTGTCCCAGCCAGCAATCACGTGAATTAATGACACCCAGGGCCTCCTGAGAGTTGAGCCTTTAGGGAAGCTGGAATTTTCTTTCTTGGGCTTCTCATGGTTGTGGGTTCCTCTGCATTAGGGATTGGCTTCATCCCACCTGATGTATCTAAATTGGGAACAGAGGTGTCTTTGGCCAATCCTTGGGAGCATTTTGAGTGTTTTTCAAGTAATAAAAGTAATTTTCAGCTTTGCTTGCTTTCCTCAGAAGCTCAATTCACTGGGGGATACTGGAAGAACAAGTATTCAGAAGAACTCTTGACATGGGTTTCTATAAAAGCTGTGATGTGTCCCATGTTTTGCCCTGGAAGACTGTATTTCAGGTCTTTTGCAGTCATAGAAACTTCTATTTATCCATCGAGCTCTGCATCATTTATCCTGGTCTCTATTTCAAAGCTTTTAAGCGGCTGCTGTTATTTCAGGGAGATAATCATGTGTTTCATGTTAGAGGAAGGGGAATTGAGTCTGGGTCTTGGGGAACGTTTCCCAGGTTGTGGATGAGGACTTCCTACCAGCTGCACCACTCCAGGCCCTCAGCCGGTCCCTGGTGGACCCAGTGGGGTGAGTCCCAGTGACTTGCAAAGGCTGGTGGATGCATCGCTATTATTTTACTGTGTTTTACTGGTGGAAAAAAAGCTCTGTTTTTCTGTATTTTTAGAGCAGTGGTTCTTTCACGTATTCTGAAAGAGATGAGAGACACAACTTGAAAATGGTTATAATAAGCAGGAGGATAACAGGTGTTTACAGGCGATTTTTTTCTTTAATCTGTTCTTGTTTAGATTTCTGCTCACTTTATTCAGATCCTGGCAAGTGACAATTTGGAGACGGATGGACAAAGCAGAAATTATGCAGTGCTTTGATTGTTTTTCTTGTGGGAGAAAAGTACGTGTGTTCATATTGACTTCAGCATCATTTCCGTAACTAGCATAGCACTTATTCAATCGTCATAAAAATCAGTTCTTTTCAGTAATTTTGTAATATTTATTTTAGATGCTTCTGTCAGTTATAAACAGTGGAATGTATTTAATGAAACACTTTTATTTCTGTAGTAACTCATTGATTTCACTTTGTGTATGGTGTGTGGGTGTGTGAGTGGATATATTTGTGGACGTTGGTAGCTGGGGACATTCCCATTCCTTGGGGTGTCAGAAGAGCTTCTGCTTGTTGGAAGTAGGACTTCCCGTCTCACCAAAGTGGTTTATTACTCTGTTTTGTTCCACAGGGCAAATCTTTTGGTGGAACTATTGCTCTAGGTCGTATCCCTTGGTTCAAACTAAAGAAGACTTCCTGTCTCACCAAAGTTGTTTATTACTCTGTTTTGTTCCACAGGGCAAATCTTTTGGTGGAACTATTGCTCTAGGTCGTATCTCTTGGTTCAAACCAAAGAAAAATTAAGGATAAATTCAAAGAGAAAGACATTTTTTTAGATTTGACTCACTCTCAGTTTTATCTGACCAGTTTTAACAGAGATTTTCTCTTCCTCTCCTCTCTTCTCCCCTGCCAAAAATTAAGGATAAATTCAAAGAGAAAGACGTTTTTTTAGATTTGACTCACTCTCAGTTTATCTGACCAGTTTTAGCAGAGATTTTCTCTTCTCCTGTCTTCTCCCCTGCCATCCCTTTAATCCCATGCCCAGTGATGTCAGGATCCCAGACTGGGAGCTCTCTAGGGGAATGACTGGTTTCTGTGCTTTGTCACAGTATGGCTTCAAGTTGTGGTTTAAGAATTTTGTTTTTTTCATCTTTACCATCAAACTCTAAAAATTCTCATGGGAAAATACAAAGACGACACAGGAAACCAAAAGTAAAGGAAGATTAATCTCTCTTAGCCCGGCTCTGTTTGACAAGATGTGGTGTGATTTTCAGTGCACTTTGAGTCATGTGATCCTTGTCACGTCCTGAAGTGATTACTCAATGGTAAATTACAGCAAAGATACTTGTTTTCAGGACTAATTAGTAGGCCTTGGAGAGGAATTGAACTGAAAATTCTAACCCCCTGAATGTTGGGTACCTGTGCTTCCTGCGTGGCTGTGGAGGGAGAAGCATCCCCAGGAGGGAGCAGAGTCCATCCTAAGGAAAGTGTCTGGGATGTTTTTTCTTTGTTCCAGTTCCACATCTGTAAAATAGAGATAACAGTTCCTACCCTAGAGGTTTTTGGAGGCGAAATTCTGAGGATGCTGTAGTAATGAAAGACACGCAATATCTGATTTGGTCAATAAACCTTTGCTTATTGCTATTATTATCCTTCACTGTTTTCTCTCAGGTGTGTTGGCACTCGTCACAAGTTCTGGGCTTTACTGGCTTTGATCTTTATTGTTTGGCAGATTTTGTGAGCCCTTCTGGCTTTTCTCGGAGAGATTAGATCAGATCATGGAGGTAAAGCACGAGCAGCAAGAAGAACTGAATACCTTGGGTGGAATATGGTCACTGTTTTTACTGTAGTGTCCACATGCCATTGGAGATTGGAGAAGACCTCTGGGGGAAGAAGGAGAGTAAAAGACCCCCCTGCAAAGTGCTTGTGTTGATTTCTCGCTCTTGTTTGCCTTCACCCCCAGAATAAAAGGTTGAAGCTAGTCATGATGCTCGGGAAAGAGCTGAAGGAGATAGAATCATAGAATGGTTAGAGGTGGAAGGGACCTTAAAGATCATCTACATTCACAGCTTCCTGGGCCAGGGTCTTACCAACCTCACAGCAAAGAATTTCTTCCTCATATCTCATCCAAATCTCTCCTCTTTCAGTTTAAAACCATTTGCCCATAAAGAGTGCCTCCCCATCTCTCCTGTACACCCCCTTCAAGTCCTAGAAGGCCATTATAAAGTCTCCTCGAAGCCTTCTTTTCTCCAGGCTGAACAATCTCAACTCTCTCAACCTGTCTTCATATGAGAGGTGCTCCATCCCTCTGATCATTTTCATGGCCCTCCACTGGTGGTGAGAGCCTGGCCCAGGTTGTCCAGAGAAGCTGTGGCTGCTCCATCCCTGGAGGGGTTCAAGGCCAGGTTGGAGGGGGCTTGGAGCAACCTGGTCTAGTGGGAGGTGTCCCTGCCCAGGGCCGGTGGTTGAAACTGGATGATGTTCAAGGTCCCTTCCAACTCTAACTGTTTTATGATTCTATGATCAGCAGATCCTGCTCTGTGAAGTTCTAGACACATGCTCCTGAAGGTGGCTTGTCCCAGTTCAGTTTGAGGAGAAGGGCATGAAGAAATGCAAGCAGAAAGTGGGAATTATGTGTAGGGACAATGCTCAGGGCCCTGCACCCACTCGCAGCACCGCCCGTTCTCTTGTGGGGAAAACTTTGATAAATAAAAGTTAAAATAAATAAATAAATGCATGGCTGCTGTTGGCAGACAGGATGCAATCCAGTAATAATTTAAAAGTGCCGCTTTTACTGCAGAAAGAGAATGCTCGGGAAATAAAAATGCCATCAGGTACAATATAATCAACTCTTTACATCGTGTACCTTATCAAGCGATGATAGCAGGAAGGACAGAATCATTTTTCACAGTGGACATTGCTGCCTGTTGGGCTTGTGTTTTATATGCTCTGGTTTTACTTTGGTGCGACATAAAATATTGTTTATAATATAAACTGTTTTCCAAATGCATTGGTCTCCAAGTACTTGTAAAGCCTCTTAAAACACGGGAGATATTTCAGGGCAGCCTGGTTGGCAGAGCGGACGGCCACATTGTGATACCCTGAATTTTCCTTTCAGTCTGAGTTCCAGTTTATGTATGTCAGTCCTGCTCGGTAATAAATCCTAAACAACTAATGAAATCACGCTGAAGGGGAACGTTCTTCAGGGATTATATTTGAAATGGAACAAACCTAATTAGTTAGAAATATGAGGCTGAATTACGATCTCAGGTGCATCGTTGCAAATCTGGACTGTGTCGGTGGGGCATAAATTAGCTGTTCGGGTTTTACATCGGCAGGAGAGAGTTCAGAATTGTGTCCAGTTTGATTGTACAGATGTTATTTGCAGCTGAGGATGGGAAAAAA